TTTGTGTTCTTAGTAGAGATGGGGTTTCACCATGTTGGCCAGGATGGTCTCAATCTCTTGACCTCGTGATCCATCCGCCTCGGCCTCCCAAAGTGCTGGGATTACAGGTGTGAGCCACTGCACCTGGCCTAAAGCTATCAATCTTTATAGCTTTAAAAATTTCCTGATTCCATAAGCTTCATGTGTAAAAATTTTTTTCTGGTAAGTTACCATTAAAATATATCTGGTGTGCAAATTTTGATAATTATCAAAAATAAAATGTGAAATTTTATTGAGCATGCAGCTCTTAGAAAAATGAAGAGAGCTGGGTTTTCTTTTTCCAATTAATGCTTATACCCAGAGGTGAATGGTGCATCTTACTAGAATGCCCGGGCACAGGATCAATGTGATTCTGATTGCTTGGTGGTGCAGATGTGAACCCAGAGAGGAAGCCTGTTCTAGTTAGGGCCGTCTAATTTGGTGACTCCTTTTGAGTTCTATGTAAAAATCAAATGGTGATCTGTCATCTAAAGTTATGTTTACCATCCTGTCAGCTGACAACCTGATTAAAATGTTAAAAACAAAGAATTGGAAATTATTTGACTTCAAAATATGTGTATTGTTCAGGCATGAGTCATTCATAATGGGAAATGAGTTTTCTGGGAAAATTATCTCCCAATAGCAAGGCTTTACCAAAACTCATGATATGATTATGAATTATATCTATTATGCTTTCACTTGAAAGCCACCTTGTTATGGAGCTAAATTAGACAAAATAGAAAAATAACCTTAAAAGTTTAAAATTTTACATTTTAGGATTTTCCCAGTGAACAAAGATCTTTTGTGTGCAAACACCAAGGTGTGTGTCTATCTGTCTATCTTTGCCAAATTTCTATTTTCCAGATTGTCTCAAAGTTACAGAGAGAGAAACACATATAGCCTTGAGAATGACTAAACATAGAGAATTTCATGTCATGATTGAAACGAATAATAGAATATTAAAATAATGTAGGTAAAGCAGCTGTGGTGGAATGAACACTGGCCTGTGGGTCAGTAAACCCGGGGTCTCGCCCTGGCTCCGTCTTTTTCACCAGTCACTTCCCGGCTCTGGACTATAAAATGAGGGGAGCGGGTAGATGGCTTCTAAGGTCGGTAATGAATGAAGCATCCCCAGACCACTGCTGCTTCCAATGCCAAAGAGCTCGGGGCTATGTTTCAACTTTCCTACAACCCCAGAACTGACTCAGCTTCCGCTTGACCTCAGGGTCAAAGGGGCTGAGGAACAGAAGAGCAGGATCATGCATGGATTATGGCTGGGAACTGAGCAGCAAGGGAGTTGACCCACACTGTAATTTCCTTATCTCTGTGCGCCCCTCTAAGTTGCAGTAGGAGAAGAGGAACAAGTAGGTGCTACACTTTTCCTTTCAAGAAGGTGTTTGTCTTGTAATTGTCTGATGCTCATCTGGTGATTTTCATTTTCTTTTCTTCTCCTCCCTTTCCAGTGCTCCATGCTGGGATATGTCACTCTTTAATGCAGACATGGCAGCATGTATACCAGTTTATTTGCTCTGGCAAGGACATCCGGCTGCTATCAAGGTGGTGGCCCACCTCTATTTGGTGCTGATGTCTGTTTAGAATAACGTGGCTGGTGTTGCTTCTTAGCATATGAAACCAGCTCCAGATTAGGAGTTAAAAAGCCCAGGCTCTGGGTTTGCTCTGCTACTGACCCGATGTTATTAATACATTAAATCCTTATATGTAGAAGGCAAAGCCTGGCCAAAGTATGCCCTGCCCCTCGGTCTTTGAATCTCTGATCCCACAAAGAGTGAATCAATTGAATTGTCCTTATTAAGGTGCTGGGCCTGCCGCCAGCCCGCTTCATTCAGACGGCCTCCAGGAGACAGACGTTCTTCGGTGAGTCCTCAGGTCTAACTCTCTTTTCCTTATTGTGTCTAATGAAGTGTTGCAGGCCTCGAAGACACCTGCCATACCTTAAAGCTCATTTCGTTCTTTTCCCCTGGCCATAGCAAAGTGGGGGCTGTGATTAAGAGCTTCTTTCACAGAAGTAAAAGATAATGAACAGTGGAACCAGATAGCATAATGGAGATGGGATGGGGCAGCCGCAATGGGAATGGGGTCTTGACAGTAAAAATGTTCAGAAGAAAGAGAATGGCCAGATCCCTGTTGAGAAGAGCTATTAGCAAGTATTACAGCCTCAAAATACTGTAACTGCATCCTCTCCTGGAAGTTCTCCCCACTCTCCCAAGCAACTTGTCCTCTCACACTGTGGACTGTGCAGGGAAATCAAAGAGCAGAAGCTTCATTTCAAGAACAGTGGAAAATTCCATTGCTGCATTACTGTCTGCCCTGCTAAAAGTCTTCTTATCCTCCAGATCCTCACTGTGCCAGGTTCATTACAACGGTTAAGCAAGGACTATCAGAGTAGTTTTGCTTTGATGAGTTATGGCTGGGAGTTATATGTATGTCATTTGTCTGATTGTAGGGAGTAAACTTTGTCCACAGCCCAGGCTGGCCCTCTCCTTCTGATTCCCAGAATCTGGATTTTTGTGGTCCACTGCCTTCCTATTTAAGCGGTGATGTACAAGGTGGGAGGATGGGTCAGCAAGTTACTAACTGAGGCAGCGCTTTCCAGGCACATGCACCAAAAAGTTGCAGCAAGTCCCAAACCTAAAATCCCTTTAAAGAACCACTGGAAGCTAAGAGTCCCAGATAGAAACAGCCAAAGTAGCCTGAAGGTCAGCAAAGTGGAGCAAAGCTAGATATGAGCAAAACGGAACTCCACAGACGCGACTCTGTGCTACCTGGAGTGGCATTTCTAACCAGCAATTGTCAGGTCGGTTCATGGACTCCCTCTGACTATGCAATCTCAGACATTCCTGGTCCTCCCACCTCTGATTTTCAACTGTGAGCAGCCTCTGAATGTGTATGCAAATCACACAACTTCTGTTCACAACTTGCCCCATCAGTAGGAAGGTCCAAAACATCCTCATGGACAAAAGGGATTGAGTCACGCTGGTCAGGATGCACTGATTCAGCCATGTAGGGGTTGTAATTTGCCTATTTCTGTACCATTTGGTAAAAAGCCACAGCCCTGAGCCCTGCCACAGCTGCAGGTTCCCTGGCCCTCTCCCAGGGCTCCTTAGACTCCCTGTGATCCAAAAAACTCAAAGTTGAAGGCCAAGCAAGTGGAGGTGCTCTGTGATCCTATTCCAGGGCCACGGCTGTCTTCATTCTGATTAGTTGGTCCCATGTCATTCATTCCAATTGTTAACTCTTTTAAACATCGCCTTTAAACTCTTTAAACATGGCTGGAGCTTTGGAGACACTGCTTCTGAGCAGGGCAGTGTCCTGGTTGCCACAGAATGGTGCCCACGCATTAACAGAGCAATCTGGTGGTGGGCAGAGGGGTTCTGTCTGGCTCCCTAACTTACACATGGAGCAAGGAAACTAGTCTGTGGATCCCAAATATACTTTTTCTACCCACAACTTAATAATTCAGGCTCTCGGACTGGACAGAGTCACTGTGGGAAGACACATCTTGAGCCTGTGACGCTGAACTACAAGATAGCATCTAGATGGGGACTAGCAGGAAGGGAGCGTAGAGCACCTTCGTGGGAAGGCACTGAAGACACAGGCACGTCCACTTTGTAGAGCTGCTTATTCCTACATCAGCACGAGGCTTTAGGATGGTGGTGGGATTCTTGCAGCAACATCCATATCTTCGCTTCCTGCAAAAGAAGGAATGTTGCTGAGAAAAATGCATCCTCGTCAGTGTTTTCCAAACTTTATCCAAATGCAGGAATCATTTGGGGAGCTTGCTAAAAAAGCTAATTCCTGTGATTCTCTTCTATAAGGTATGCTGTGGGAAGATTGAGATGGGACCCAGGATTTAATATTTTAAATAACAGCTCCTTGTGACAAGAGGAGTCTGGGAAACACTGTTGTCCCCTTCACTTCTTGACTCCCCCTTTCCCAGGTTTGGGCTCCCAACAGCTCCGCAGCCCCTGACACCTCCTGGTTAAAACCCCTAATTAGCAGCAAAATGGGGTTGTCTTAAGCCTGGTAAGATATTATACTTAGGTGGCCCAGGCCGTAAGAAGGGGATGGAGGGAATGATGGATGAGGGCTAGAGTGAGAAAAGCTTACACAGGAAAACGGTTACATGACCATGACTTTAGGGGCTTCGTTATTTATAAGACTGTGAGCTTGATTCTTCTTTGGTCATTCATAAAAAGGGCAACGTAGGATAAAGTGGGCGGGCTGAGGCCACGATTCAAAAGGAAATGGATATTTGTACAATTTCACAGGACCTTGCCCCTGATGATTTACTTCACTATTGTGATTGTCATCATTAGTGTTATCTTATCTTGGCTAGTGCTAAACCATTTAAACTATTTGATTTGGAGAGGAGGTAGTAGAAGGAAGCTCAGAACATACTGAATAGTAGGAAAAAATAAATTTTTAAAGTTAGTTGTATTCCTTGGATAATCTACACGTGGTTATTTCAGACTGAGACTGTGGCGTGCTTGTGTGTATGTTTATTGGGGGGTGGCATGAGGCGAGTGTGTAAGACCAAGAGCGAAACAGCCACGGAGGCCACTCTAAGCAGCAGCATGATGTGACCACTAAACATTTACGCCTGGAACTAAATACAGAATGTTGTATTTCTGCAGATTCCAAAGGCTTGCCTAAAAGTATAACCAACAACAGGGGGAAGAAAAGATACCCAGACTCCAAGGACCTCATGATGGTGCTGAAAACCTATGACACCAGCTTCCTGGACTTTCTCAGAAGGTGTTTGGTGTGAGTTCGTTGGAATATCTCTGCCTCTGGGTTTCCTCTTAAATGCTGTACTTTCACACACGTTTGCTGGTAAAAGTCTAAGGCTGGGAGACGTTATAAAAGTAACAAGAAACGCTAACAATAGACCTTTAAAGTCTACAAATTGCTTCCACATCTGTCGTCTCATGAGACGTCTCTCTCTCCGTACTGTGTGTTGTCAGGGCAGATGATCCGCTCTGTTTTGCAGGTATGGAGGTTGTGGTTCAAAGAGATTAAGTGACTTGCCCTTGATCACACAACGTGTGGCAGAGTTTGGCATCTTCCTGGCCTCAAACTGCTTGGCAGTGAGACTGTAGGCCAGTCTTAAATGTCCTGCTCTGTGAGCTGAAGCCAACCTCCTGAGTGCTTGTTGTAATGATTTGCATACACATCCAGTTTAAACTGGTTTCAGGGCCTGTCCCTAACCCCCTAGGATTTAGAACCCAAATCCTCTTATAGTAGGGAATTAGGGGAAGGGTGAGCTGTAAACCATTTACTCTGTAAAATTTTTTACAACCTATATGCATATTTTGAATCTTAGAGATTAGATCTGTACTTAAGTCATAGTACTGAGCACAGTACTTTTAAACACCTAGCTTAAAAGGTGTTTAGAAAATGTTAGCTATTGTTATTATTTCACAGCTATTAAAGAGGTAAATCTGTCTCCACTGAGTAGCAAGTGCATTATCCATGTGATACCTGGCAAGTCATCACTTTTTTCCTGGGCCTCAGTGTCCTTTCCTATAAAACGGGGTATTCCTAAGCTCCCTTCCAGTTCTATCAGTCCTATAATTTAGTAGTTTTAGAAGGCCATATCATTATATTCTCTTATTCTTCCAGTTGGATGGAGAGGTGTTAGCAAAATACTCTTCTGGCATCTGTGCACTCTGGAATTTTGGTACTAGCTCAGAGGGTGAACCATGAGGTAGCGTTGAAAGTATTCCCAACTTAGAGGGCCATGCTATTCACTTATCGGAATAATCAAGGTAGAGAAGGATTCCATACCCCATCTTACCTCTACCTTAACAAACAGAAACCAGTTGCTGAGACAGATGGGTTATCCAGAAACCCCAACCATCCAGAACACAGCTCAGCACCAAGGAAGACATTATTTTCATTTCTTTCTTTTTTTTTTTTTTGAGACGTAGTCTTGCTCCGTCGCCCAGTCTGGAGTAACGTGGTGTGATCTTGGCTCACTACAACCTCTGCCTCCCGGGTTCATGTGATTCTCTTGTCTCAGCCTCCGGAGTTGCTGGGACTACAGGCACGTGCCACGAAGCCTGGCTAATTTTTTTTGTATTTTTAGTAGAGATGGGGTTTCACCATGTTAGCCAGGGTGGTCTCAATCTCCTGACCTCGTGATGCGCCCACCTTGGCCTCCCAAAGTGCTGGGATTACAGGCGTGAACCACCGTGCCCAGCCACATTATTTTCTTCTTTAGTGCAAAGGACTAATTACTCATAACTTGCAAGAGGCAGTCAAGTTGATGGGGACTGTTACCTAATTGCAAATTAGCAAATCTTTGGAACGAGAGACTAAAAGTGTCAAGCCAAGTTCAACAGGCATAAATGTAAAGCCTTGTGTTTAGACTTTGTAGACTAACTCCAAAAGTCCAGGAAAGGAGAGATTTGTTTAACAGCCGTTCATGTGACACAAAAATGAGAGCTTGAGCTGTTTAGGATCTTGATTAGTCTAGAATGTTAATACTGCCTCCCTGCAGTTATAGAAGCTATTCCCACCATGGTGGACATTAGTTAGACAACTGCTAAAATATCCTTATCTCAGAAGGTGGCCAGATGGTGAAAACCATGTTGTATAATCATTAGTTAGTAGTGATGTAAATATTTTCAGATAGCTGAAGGGCTGAAACATAAAAGAAGAATTAGTTATTTTGTATGATGCTAATCGGTTGAATCAGGACCTGGGTACAAGTTACTGGGAAGCAAACCAGTTTTGGTACAATAAAATTCAAGAACTTTCAAAGAATCAGAGTTTTTAAAAATTGGAATAGATGGTTCTGAGAGTTAGTGCATTGTCACTGAAAGTATTAGAGAATTACAGGGTGATTCCAAGATGGGAGCTTGGTCAATGTATTCTGCTACTGAATTAGAAGTTTGATTTGATTATATCCAAGTCCCCTGGCAAATCTGAATATTCTAGAATTCTATAACTCTTCTTGCAATATATTTGGAAGCCCCAATTCTGTAGTCTGGAAATTGAAATTAAGCATCTCTTTCTTTTTAATATGCTTAGCTTACCAAACCCTAAATCTCATTGATTAAGCTTTTGTAAAATAATATTTCTGATAAGGGAATTTCTAGATGTTCTGGAAGACATGGAGTGTAATATACATTCCCTGGCTTGTTATACACATCTTCTAAAAAGATTATTTTCAATAGCTGTTTCCAGGTACTTTTAAGTTATATGCTATAATCTCTGTTCTGTGACGATATCTTTGAGATATCAACGTAGCTTAAATAAAAATATTTATTGGGTTTTTAAAATGTTTTAATATACTAAAAGGAAGTAAAACAGTAACCCATGCTGGGCTTTGTTGGGGTGCAGATGGGAACCTTCTCTTCGCATGACCCCGGACCAGGCCCTCAAGCATGCTTGGATTCATCAGTCTAGGAACCTCAAGCCCCAGCCCAGGCCCCAGACCCTGAGGAAATCCGGTTTTGTTTTCTCCTCTGAGACAAGGAAGAACAAGGTTCAAGGCCATCATCACTCGAGCATAAAAGGTACAGGCTGTCAAATAGTCCTATTCCCGTAGACCAGGAAGCCTGCCATTTCTTACCTTTGGGATTTTCCCTTTTTTGCTCCTTATTAGGATTTTCCATTGTTCTCCTATAATCAATTTCCTTTCTCCTCCTCCCCTTTTCCTTAACTGTGTCCACCCCTTTATGCCCTATAAGTACCTTTAGAATTTGTCCGTGCCAGATTATGGTATTTTGCAAATTTTTATATGCAATATAGCCTAGTGGTTAGGCACATGGTCACAAGAGCCAGGTTGCCTGGGATTGAATTCTGGCTCCACCGCTTATCAGGTATGGACTTAACCTCTCTGTAGTTCAGTAACTCCATTTATGAGAACGAGAATAATGCCTATTCTCCAGGGTCGCTGAAATGGTCAGATGAATTAGTACACAGAAAGTGCTTGGAATAATGCCTGGCACATTGAATGCGCTTTACAAATGAGCTGTTTTTATATCATCACAGTCATGGTTTCCACTAAGTGATTTACAGCCTAAAGGACAGTTCCCATATAATCCCCATTCGAATGCTTGTTCTTTCTGCCTTCTCTCTCCTTCAGCAGATGAGATCACCAGAGAGACTATAAACAAAACAAAAGATGGCCCCATGAGGCATATTCAGCATTCAGGTGATCAGCGGGACCCTCTCCAGCACACAGCTGACACTGTTCAGCTGCCTCCACTGGTAGAAGCTCTCCCGAAGTCAGAGGCAGCTGTTGGGGCAGAAGTGTCCATGACCTCCACAGGACAGAGCAAAAATTCCTCCCCAAAGAACACAAACATTTTACCCCCCATTGTATGACCTTTGCTGAGGGTGTGTCCTGCTCCTTTCCACCAGTGATTTGTATTGACAGCACTTACATTGGACAATACTTCAGACTGTTGCTTTTTAATACAGAAAAGTTTATTTAAAAAAACTCTGTTAATATGGCCAATTGGCACAATTTCTCTTATGAGGGATGGGGGAGGATGTCCTCACACTTAAATTCGTTCCATATGTGTTTGTGTGTTGGGGGTGGGAATAGTTTTTAACTATCAGTGTTATAGCATCATTAATGGAACTCTAAACAGACATTTTTTTGTTGTTCTTGCCCGTGACTGCCAACCTATGTCAGGATTTTTGTTTGAAAACCATAGAAGCTGAATTCAAAAGTAGCTTAAACAACAGAAGACATTTATTGACTTATATAATTGGGGAATCTGAAAGGGTAGATGTAGTTTCAGGCACAGCAGGATCCAGGAATTCAAATGAGGTTGTAGGGCTCAGAATCCCTCTTCATCTATTACCCTTGCTTCTCTCTATGGTTGACTGCATCCTGATGGCAGGCTCTGCCCGGAAACTAACCACCAACATCCAGTCAAAAGATGCACGCTTCCTTGCTGACAGGAAGTCTCCAAAATGATAGTGACACAGAAACTGTGCCTGGGAGACTGGGATGCAGTCTGGGCCCCAAACCCGCAGTGAAGGTGAAGGCACCGTGACTGATGCTTCCCTAGACTGCCACAAGGGATGGAAGGTTTCCCAAAGGAGGAGAAGCTGAGTAAACACGCAGGACATACTGATTTATCCACCAGACCAGAAATCTAAGTAGGCCTTCTCACTGCCCTTTCTAATCCTTATCTACACAAATACATAACCTTTATGTGATTATAATACGGCAGATAGAATTTTGCATGAAACAAGATGATAACATCAGAAACAATATGGAATATATAAAAATCGTTTTAGTTTTCTTTTTTACTTGCCATTTGGAATAACCTCCCCTCAATACACTTTTCATTTTACTTGTTGCATAATATTTTATGAACATTGACGCCAAGTCATTAAAGCAATGGATTTGCATGCAATATCCCAGGGAAGCTTTATTTTTTTTAAGGTTTTTAAAATATAATTTGAAACTATTTTGTCCCAGTACAATATATTAGTTTTACAAATGTAAAATTTTATCAACTGTTAAAGCATTTGCAAAACCACACATTCTACTTCAGCTTTATTGCACAGTATCTATAAGAAAATATTAATTTTTAAATTAGAAAACATAAAAATGCTTTCAATATAGAAGAGACAATCTGATTTTAAAGACAATACTCTATAAGAATGTCTACTCAGAAAATAACAAACTTTCACAGGATACCAGGCTGGATAGATGCTTCGGCAAATCCAGTACAAAGCACTATTTAAAACCAGTCCAAGATACTTAATCCAAACTGTATCCTCATTCTTCATTAGAATGTAGACACCACGCACGGTGGTTTCTTATACTTTAAAAAGCTGAGGCATTTTCATTGTGAGCATTCTGAATATCTCTTACATATCAAAAACAATACTTCCAACTCAATAGCCATTTGCAAGGTTCTTTTTCCTTCATGCAGATTATCACTGGCAACTGTTTTTAATGACTATTCATGACCATTTTATTTATGCTGATAGAAAACATCAAGTTAAATATGCTTTCAAAACCTTGTCCTTTACAAAAATCAGTTTATAAATTTGCATCATAAAAATTAGTTGAGACCATCAAGATGGCCTTCATTTATATGGTTGTATATGGGATGGTTTTCCCAGAGCTGGGATGGCAGATGTCCCACTTTTCTACATAGTGTAATCAGGAAATTAATCCAAGCACTAAACTGGAATCCCAAGACACATTAATAAGGTTGTATGACGGCTTTTAGGAGGTTATGACCCTAGCTAGACCCATATACTGATGTAGGTGTTAAAACACAGCAAACCTTGGTGGGAATTTAATTTATCTCAGACAATAAACATAATCTGGAGATACAAAAAGGAAAATATTCATATACGTATTATCAGTGTGGCAGTGTGTATCACAGAAAAGAAAAAAAATTCTTTATTAGAATGAGGAATTACCAGATTGATACATATATAGACCACACATCAGCAAAGTTTTCCTGACACCCACAAACCCACAAACTGTTCCTCTTAATGCAGATATTGTAGAATCTACCAAGTTCAAATGCATTTTTGATCCAAAGAAAACAGAGGGGTGTTTGAGACACAAGGGTACCCAGCCCCCCACTTTTTTTTTTTTTTAACCACAGGCAATGCATGGGTCTGGCTCATTACACTTTGCCAAGAAGACTTGTCTTATGAAATCCAAGGTGTATTTTGTTATGCCATTTTATGTCCTTTTTTTTTTTTTTAAACATTGTGGAAAGTGGTATGTTGAATCAAGTGTAAGCTGAGTTTTCCAGACAACTGAAGTAGCTACATAGTGAATGTTGTTATTTTGTTATTAAAGGGTTTTTACTCAATGCTTTGTGTCAGTGGATGTCCTTTTCCTTGGAGACACAAAACTATGCAATTACCTCAGCTTGGCCTGGTTTTCCCCTCTGCCCTCTTGGGGAAACATGGGCCTGGCCTGGGAAAAGGCAGATCATGGGCTGGAAGGTAGGTTTTGATACTAGGAAGAGACCTCTATATCTGTCAGCTCTAAAGAGAACTGGGCCCTTTGTAGGGACATGGATGAACCTGGAAACCATCATTCTCAGCAAACTGACACAAGAGCAGAAAATCAAACACTGCATGTTCTCACCCATAGGCGGGTGTTGAACAATGAGAACACATGGACACAGGGAGGGGAGCATCACACACAGGGGTCTGTTGAGGGGAAATAGGGGAGGGACAGTGGGGGGTGGGGAGGTGGGGAGAGATAGCATGGGGAGAAGTGCTAGATGTGGGTGATGGGGAGGAAGGCAGCAGATCACGCTGCCACGTGTGTGCCTATGCAACAATCTTGCATGTTCTTCACATGTACCCCAAAACCTAAAATGCAATAAAATAAAATAAAATTTAAAAAAAAAAAAAAGAGAACTGGGCCAAAACTCCCTAACCTCACTTTCTCAGGACGCCAACACTTCCCTGCAATCCCCTGGTTTAAGCATTTGTCAGCATGAAGGCAGACCCCAATTCATACATGAATGGCAAGAAAAAGAAAATAGTAACCTTGAATCTTCTGGGGCTCACCAGGCACTCCCCTTTCCTGACCTTACACTCTACCCAGTCAAGGCTGTTGCAGCCCATCTGGTGGCTTCACCTGGGACATTACCGAAGACTTCTTCCTTCATCCTGGGGTTGCAAAGGGTCCAGGTACTCCCCATCCAGTGGGGCTCTTCCAGATCAGAAGGCCCCTTCCCACCAGCCTCTGCATCTTGTTTAACTATGCCATCTATACCTTTTGGAGATGATTATTTAGAAAACAAAGCATGGAATGGAGTTTTCTGTTGTTTTGTTCCTAGGTTATATTTTAGTTATTCTCAATTATTTGATCTGGAAAATATAAGAGGGAAAAGGAGACCCCACTATCTCCCTGTGCCTTGCTCCCATCTCAGGTGGCAGGGGCGGTGCACATTGCCTGTGCTGTTGATCTGTCTTAGGGGACAGGCTGAACCACAGCTATTGCCCCAGCCAAAAACATGGCCCATCCATGCCTACTTTGTTTCTGCTTGAAAGTCCTATTCAAAAAGTTGTAGAGTTTGTGGGTTTTTTCCCCCTATATCCTTTGCTTTGGTTCAATTTGGCCTTTAGCTTAAGAGTCAGCTTACTCTCTAGGAAAGTTTTTTCAGATTATGATAAGGATCCTGTCATCTGGGAAGAAAAGAAATCCAAAGACCCTCTGGCAATTGGATGGGTAATCATATCATTAACAGATACTTCCTCAAAGGTAGGATATTATTTCCTTTCTTTGCTGTACTGTTTTGTTACACAAGTCCAGGTGGTGACAGCAGACTTCATACCGTGAAAGGTTGGAAAACACCTGGTATACTGAAATTTCTGAAATAAAAACACAAGCTTCACACTGATAATAAATAACCACTGAAGTTTAGATGCAGGGACTGAGATGATACAGCAAATTCTTGGTGTTGGTTTCTCTTCTAATTCATATTTCCAATCGCCTAATCTTCCCTCAATCCAAGCGCAATTCAGTCTTTCCTCCCCACGTCTAGGATGCCAAAGAGCTTCATGAAAAGAGATAATTAGGGATTGACCAGCATTTCAATTAGTTTTCTTCTTCATCCTTCGCATTTCTTAAAAGTGTTATCCTGGACCAGAGAGAAAGAGCCTGTCCATTTTTTTTTTCATTCTTTCTATTCAAATATTTCCACCAAGATTATACTTTATTAACATAGGTACTATAGATCCTTCCTTGGTCAGTGAATTATTACAAGAGAAACTATCCTTCTACCAAGATGAGTGAAAACAAGTTTCAGTGACTTTTCTTCCATCGAGTTTTATTCTCAGAATCCAAGTCAGTCCTGGCTCTTTTCCCACTTCAGGCCCTGGCCTCAGATGTGTTTACTTTTGCTATTTAAAATACCTTTAAGCTTCACCTGCTGGTCTGCAGGATTTGCATCTTCTCTTCTATACTGTTGACTGCTTGATGGTATTGAAAGGTGACTATAATGAGGGAAGAAAGGAGGAGATAAAGAGAGAAGAATTTGTCCCAGGTCTGTTTAAAGTTTTAAAATTTAAGATGGGACCTGTTAAATTATGGGAAAATGGCTACAGAGTGTGAGCCTCCTTTGACCATATGCTCAAAGACCATACTCTGCCACCTGCCTTCTAGGTAGCTATTCTAGAAACTCAGACCTTTATTAGAAACCCAACTACCTTTTATAGGTCTCTTTCCAGGTTCCACAAGGACAAGAGATCAGAGAGTCACATATACGCCTCTTGTTTTATTTTCTTGCTTTCACAGATATTATCTCCAAGAAAATCATAGGAGAAAATTTTTAAACTTTCTTTTCAGTTGATCCCTTTGACATCACCTCTCATGTTTAAAATCAGGAAAACACATCACTAAAATTTGCAGTCTCTTCTGTTTTGAAAAAGAAAACCCACACACAAATCCACACTACTACTGTCTTTTCACCCTGAGCTATATTTCCAAAGCATATGC